GTTTGCTGACAGGCATTAAGGCATCTGCAAGCGATGATCTTTCTGCAGTCGAGTAAACGCTGAGAGATCGCGTGACTCAAGAGAAATTCGTCTTGCATGCAAATTGCGATACAGTACAACAAGCCAAACGTTATTACGACCACCAAAGGTTTTTGCGGGCACTTGTTTGTTTGTCCATTTTGATTTGTCCCTGCGAAATGGCCACACATTACCTGAGACAGATTTAGAATCTCGATTACGGCAAATGACAGACGTCAGACTCAGGTTGTTAATTTCTGATTTCCCATCTTATTGAATTGTGTTAAAAACTTTTATTGACATTACAGTTTCTTTCTATCCTATTTCTACCAGCCAGGGTGATCACTAAAGTGGTGATTTCTTTTTGCTAGCGCAATCGCAGCTAATAATTTGATATTTTAAAGTTGTATTGCTACATATGAACATATACATGCAGCTTTGAATTTGATAGTGTGAAACAAATCATCCGGAGTACGTTTCCTGTGCATGTGGATACAATGCGGTTAATTATGACGCAAAATCTCTCACCACGCACAGAACCACGCTCGTAAGCTAACGATTTTCCTTCTCCTTCCCTGTCCCTTTCTTTTGAGCCGGTCTCCAACTCCCTCAGGTACATTATGGACTCGTTCCAGACTTCTGCGTGCCTATTTATCCAAGATGGGGGAGTCAGCCCTCATGGCTCGTTGACTAGTATACCATCAACCAGGCAGTGCAACAGTGGTGGTTTTATTAAATGTAACTGGGAGGACTGTTCTTTGTCTTGATACATTGCCTTTGATTTCATTATACAGGTTTTTGGTACGTACCAATGACAGTTTAAATCTTATGATGCATGGGTTTCAGAGGTCAAGGAGCCATGTACCAAGCTTTGGTAAGTCATTTTGCTTTATTAATTTGTTACAATCAGAATTTGATTGCTACAAAAAAAATGTTCAGTCTTACAATAAAATTCCCTAGGGTAGCAGGGGGACACTGAAGGGATGTTTGGTGTACTGTCAAGGCCTTCAACCTTCATCCTATTTAATACAAAAAAAAAAAATGTTCATTTTGCTACCTTGTTTAAGAGGAGAAACTGTATTTCATTACCCTGATCCAGTTTCTAAAACTGATATCATGGGATTAGACTTTTTATTAAAAAAATAATGGTACGGACATGGATCACCGAATGTTCACACCTGATTTAAGGCTCAAGATTTAAAAGATGCTAAATAATGAAAGTGTATAACCTGAAAATATTTGAGACCCTCAAAACCCTGCCCCGTTTGGCGGCACAAACCAGTTTAGGCGAACCAGTTTGGGGACTGCCCAACCCCCCTGGGGGTACACCTTAGTATCCTTCAGACAGTCGAGTCCAGGACTCCCCTCCTTATGTCAGCATAGCTGTGGGATAAATACTCATTAAAGTGCCATTTATCACTTTTTTGAGAGTCTACTGTCAGTAGGGTTCTCAAATCCCACCTTCCCGCCTATAATATTTTTTCTTCTTAATCCCGCTATCCCACCCTTTTTACATCCAAATCCCAATCTTGATCTCATTAATGAAATAAACGTTTATAAGACTAACTTTCTTGCAATTAAGGCAGCTTTGATGTTTAAGGTTCTTGACTTAACCATCAATGACCATAATTTTATTTTATGATTTACTTTGTTTTGTCTGTGCATTAGTACAAACAAGAAGGTTTACCTCAATCTTAGTCCTGACTTTTTGGAAAACAGTTAGTTGAGTTGGGTAGATGGATGTTTTGATTGCTTTACTGCTAGATTCCATAAGGCGATGATGCCAACTGTCTACATTAACTGCAGGTCATAGAAAATGTGTATGAAAAAACACACCGGTTGCACAGACTGAGAAAATGTTGTCTTTTATGAAAAAATAAACCTGCTATGGAATCGAATGGCGCAAGTGCAGAGCAGAAAGCAAAAAGTTTGCTTTCCCACCCTTTCTGGACTTGGTCCTCGATTTCTTCCTCTTCTGCAGTGCTACTTGTACCCATTCCTGTTTAAAATCTCTTTATTTTCTTCCTTTCTTAAATCTACACAAAAATAGGTGCATGTGACCTGCTGTAGTTTGCAAAACAGTCTTTTTTCCCCTCACAATTACTTGTAAAAGGTGCAAAATAACGGCGTAAACTGATTTCAGCGCAAAGACTGCATATTTTTTTGTGTCGCTCCTAAGTCTAACTCGTCATTTTTCGACCTCACTCCAGGCCTCTCCCCTGACCGTTAGCACACGCATTCTTTTCCAAATACAGAAATAATACCGAAACAATGCAAAGGTGATAATGGAAAATTTGACAGGCTTCATTTCCGTGGTGACTACTATAAAGGTGTTTGACACAAAAGAGTCATTTTTTTAAGCCAGTGCTGGTTAATTAAATAAAAATTCCAGTCATGTTAAATCTTAATTCCTGTATCCCGCTTCGTTTCCCTTACGATTTCCACATCCCTACCCAATAAAAAAGGGAAATCCCGCTCCTTTTTTTAGCTTGCATCCCGAGTATCACCCCCCAAAAAAGCCAAATCCCAAATCCCACCAAACCTATTGTGGACCCTCTACTTTAGGACTGGTCAAAAAGTATAGGCCGTGGAGGGGGTGGGGGGGGGGGGAATTGGGCATGGGCCAGGGTAGGGGGGGTTTTGATCATGAGGTTTTTAGCCTCTGCAAGGAGTGGGTCATGCAATTTTCAGCTACCCTTAGGGGGTGGGTCATCCTATTCTATAACATTGATTGGTGGCACACATTTAAGTCTTGATACTAGCGGGACAGTTGACCACACTTGTTATATAAAACACAGCTGGCTGGAATTTTTGCTAAAATACTCTCCCACCTGTTGCGTCCTTTTTAAAATTTTAATAAAAATATGTACAATTGTTTTTTTTTTTTACATTTCATTTAAATTTCTGGTACCTTAGTGTGGTTTAATACTGGTACCTTATGTTGTTACATATATTCTAGGAAGGAAGCAAAAAAAAAAACACGATAAAAATAGGTATTTCAATAATGAGCAGAATTTTAAGGAAATCCTAACAAATGTATTCAAAATATCAGAAACTTTTACATGGCAGTATTACATGTATCGCGGTCCAGTCCAAAGACTCATTTATCTCAAGAGAAACTAAATGGACTGTATCAGTGCCTAGATAATGATCTTGACTGATGCCCAGCATAACTTTCCATTCTTGGAGTATCTTTAGCTCAAGCTACAACTCAAATCTGAAGATCACGTTATCCATGAAAATTCAACACCCTGCAAACAACATTTAGTAGCCGGGCCCAGGGCCTAAATGTAGTAGGAAGTAATCACATTCACCGACAAAGAAACTACATGCATGTAGCTATTCAGATCTGGGCATTTCGAAGAAAACCAAAGAAACTAAAGTCTTTATTTAGCCATGATAAAAAGCTCTAGGCTTTTAGAGAGGACAAAGAAAATGAGTACTTTACAACTGCATCTGGCCTCAAATCCTATTAGAAACACTTACAGAAGCGCAAACCACAGGAAATAATAATACTTAATGTGCTTGAAAAAAACCAGCTTGCTGACCTCTAAATGTCAAACTTAGTGCAGCAAAAATAAGATTTACTTAGTCAAAGTTTAGAATGCTCCATACACTGTAAAAGAGTGCTAGTGATGTACGCACAAGAGAAAAAAGAAGAAAAACTCTAAGCTCACGTTTCACTTTATCACAAGTTTGTGAGTCCTGTCTGGCCAGTCAACACTTTTTTTCCAACTTTATGAAGCAAGGCAAGAGGCTTGAGATTTATGATTTTGTCATGCACAGAACAAGGTTTTTATTGGATTATTAGGAGGAAACCAAATTCCATGTTTTAATACTAGGGGGTGGGTCATGTAATCTCCAACTTTGCTTTAGGGGTGGGTCAGTCATTTTTGTTCCGAAGGGAGGGGGTGGACCATGTGTTTATTATCAACCACATTTTCAGATGCTCCGGCCCACCCACCCTATACTTTTTGACCAGTCCCTTTATACCTATATATTATCTTCACAGTGCCACTTTATTTTTGGGTTTTTAATTTTGTGGTTTCCTTCACGATGCACATACAGCTGTAAGGAGTAAAGCTGAACCAATCAACAACATTAAACTCCACAAAAGTAAAGTATCATTACATGTACTTTCTTTTGTAGTGTTGATGTCTGCAGTGTTGAAGGATTTTTAGGATTCCTGTGGTGTCCAGGCTGATGACGGTAAGAAAAATTCATTATCTGTTAGTTAAAGTGTTGGTCTAATGATGGTTAATTGTTCCTGATATCTTTACTCTTAGAACTCATTGAAAGGCTTCTAAAAGGTTAATGAGAAGCTATAGATGTGGTTCCAGATCTTGGTGAAGGAGTGGTGATCCGATTATGTCAGACTCTGGATCAGTGAAGTTCTGATTTTAGCCCAGGCTATCTGTTCCATCACCTGATTTTCTTAGACAAGAAAATATTTCTTACATTGCACTGTATGGACAGTCTTCACCTAGATCATTTATTTTGTGTTTAATGGCAACATACAGCTGTACCGCTGGAAGCAATGTTACGGTGGATAAGAATCCCATTCTGAGGGGTGAGGGGTGGGTGGTGTTGTTATATTCACTCTTTTGTGCTTCATGCTTCTCCAACCAAGATAAGCTCTTGCTGTGCAGGCGTTTTTGCTTGTGATAAGTACCCTTTATTGGAATGTTTAGTTAATGAAGCACAAAGCTTGCTGTCCACGCCCCCCCCCCCTAAACTCAAGATAGTAAATATGGGTAATTGATATGGTCCACACCTCTCAGTGTAGTACAGTGTAGTCTAACCAGGTGAATAAAGGTGTTGTCAAGGAACTCTTAGCTTAGTAACAAGCCTCATCTTAGACGAATCTAACTGAAAGACAATCCTTGAGTTTTCTAAGTTAAATATAGTTTGTATGAACTAAGTACCGCGTCTTTTTAATAAAACCTATTGGTGAATTTATGTTACTCTTTTTTTAGGATTTGTGGTCCTTTCCGAGCACAGCCTCTACATTACAGGAAGTCCATGAAAGCAATTCAGGATCCACTTCCGCCCCAAAGTTGAGAGTTACTCTGTTAAGCAGTGAATGGAGGTCATCAAAAGGAGGCTTGTCAACCATCAACCGAGAGTTGGCCATTCAGTTAGCAAAACACTCCAGCGTGGAGGTCAGTGTTTACCTCCCTGAGTGCAGTGAAGAGGATAAACAAGCTGCTGTAAGTCACGGTGTTACTCTCATTGAAGCAGAAAGAAGGCCAGGTTTAGAACCAGCAATCTGGCTGTCTTGTCTGCCAAAAGACCATGCTGTGGATTGTGTGATAGGACATGGGGCCGTTCTTGGTCGGCAAGTACAGATTATTAAACACCATCATCATTGTAAGTGGATTCAGGTCGTTCATACAGTTCCCGAAGAACTTGGAATGTACAAAGGATACGAGGAACGCATTTCCAAAGGTGAGAAAAAGCACCATGTTGAGGTTGAACTCTGTAAATTGGCTGATCAAGTGGTAGCTGTTGGACCCAAGCTGGCTGAAGCTTTCTCAGGTTATCTTCGTCCCTGCGGAAAAGATCAAGATGTTCTCAATCTTACCCCGGGCATTTTTTCTGAGTTTGCTGATGTAAAGCAAGCCTCTCAAGAGAGGAGCTCATTCAGTGTTTTGGTGTTTGGACGTGGCGACACTGAAGATTTTCAGCTGAAGGGATATGATATCGCTGCCCAAGCCATTGCTGAGTTGAAAGACATGACCTACAAACTTGTATTTGTTGGGGCAACACGGGGAGAAGAAGAGAAAGTAGCAGACTCGTTACTTAAGCAAGGCATTGATCACAGTCAACTGAGGGTGCGTCGTTTTAATGAAAGCAGAGAGCAGTTAGCCCAGTTGTTTTGTGAGGTAGATCTTGCCATAATGCCATCACGAACTGAGGGCTTTGGTCTAGCTGCCCTTGAGGCTTTATCTGCTGGTCTGCCTGTGCTGGTCAGTGGGAACTCCGGTCTTGGTGAGGCTTTGAAGAAGGTTCCGTTTGCTTCGAGCTGTGTGGTAGAATCAAAAGATCACAGAGTTTGGGCCAATGCAATCAAAGCTGTTCGTCACAAAGACAGGGAGATGCGTCTTGGGGAGTCTAAGGTTGTACGTAGAGCATATGCAGAAAAGTACAGCTGGGAGGAGCAGTGTGATGAACTGGTAGAAAGGATGAAAGTGATTTCTTCAGAAGGTCAGTTAACATACTGTTGTATATTTTGCTTCTTCTGTTGCATGTATACATTGTATTAGACTTCAAATGAAATCTATGCTAGCCCGCCAATAAAGCAACAATCCCGGACAAAACTACTTGAGAAAGTTTTCACCATCATGTCCACTTTCCTACGCAACAAAACTATTTCCAAACTGACGCCTTTGCGGAAAGAAAACCCCTTCCCCCAATTCAATGTTGTTTGCCACAAACACCCAGGGATCAGGCTTTCTTTTGAATACACAACAACATTGCTTTCAGGGGAAGGGGGAGAGGGAAGAACCGGTACAGCTACGATGTTTAGAAAAATGCTGTCCAAGTATACAATTTTCTCAACAGTTTTGTCCAAGATTGAAGCTCACATCGCTCCCTACCACTGGCGATGTTTTATGGAAGAGAATGATGAGAGGTGGCCGTATTCACAGGCTAAATGTACACATGTACTTAATAGTTATGATTTATTGCATTTACAAAGTAAAAAGTTGCTGTGCACTCATTAAACTTGAAAACATTCTTGCTACATGCCTATTTAAAAGCAGAACTTATCACAAACAGCTGCACATGTTTTGGCAGAAACAGCTGTATTATTAGAGCCGCTGACAAAACAACAATATTTCAATAGAGTTCAGCTGGAAGTAACAAGCTGTCTGAAACAATGATTGCAGGTTAAAAAAGAAAACATGTTTTATAGTGTAACAGGTCTATTGGGAAAAATGATTAGATCAACTGATCTCATTTCAGACTCATCAAAGAGACTTCAGTCTTTGGACAAAGGTAAAAGGCCATTATTCCCGAGTGATACCTCAGCTTCAAAACTACCAAGACTATTGAGATATGCAGGTAAAACATGTGTTGTATATCATTCGTTAGAGTATTCAGTCTATACATGTAGTGTAGTGCTGTCTTGATTTATATTATTTCGTTTGGGTATGAGAGGGCTTGTACAACTGTTATACATAATATGGGGCTTCATTATTCAGGTCTTGAGGCTCTTTTATCACTATAATTCTCTGCTATGTACGGCAGCATAGCTAAGCAGTGTACCATAGATATTAATGGCGTTTGGGAGCTTTCATTACTTACAGAAAGTTTCTAAACGAAAGTTGCTTGAAGAGCCTGAGTTAACAGTAAACCAGGAACGGGGGGTTCCTGCGTAGCGTTTGTGTGTGTTAAAAGTGGGAAGGTGGTAAGTTAAACGCTAATAATTGCAAATTAAACTCCGACGTTTCGGCAATGCTG